ATTACTTCATCTCAGTCCAGTTGAAACCAACACACTTTTATTCCCTTTTTGGAAGATGATAAGTAATTTAATTCTAAATACTTTCAATTAATAATTCTGCAAGAAACCCGACGAACTTTACCTCTTTGTCGCCGGGGTACGCTTTTTCCTTTTAGCAGAGACAAAATTCCCACCGTTTTGGTTAAAATCCAGCTACAATCTATAGAGAACTAAGTTAGTCACATTTTTAATTTGCACCCAAACTCCTCTATCCCGCCTTATGGTATTCAACTAACTAATTAAATTTCACTTTCCTAATTCTGTCATAATAATTGATTAATAATCCACTGCGACATTCAGTCCCTGCCAAGCGGGCGTTCATTGAGACGAATTTCTAAAGATTTTCGAGCAGCAGGGGATGGCAGCAGGGTGAGCAACTCGAGGGTAAAACCTCCACCATTAGACACAATATATAAGATTTAAGTGCTTAAACAAACAAACAACAACCATAAATTTTTGCATACAATTCCCGGACGCATCGGAATCGTTTGGAGGGTTTCGTCACGAAATTGGATAATTCTCGCATATTTTGAACCACAAGAATCAAATCAGCAAGAAGGCTATTTAGGTTCAGGCTAATTCTAATTGTCGTGGCATATAAAATCGTTGTTTGTAGGGCCCTGAAGATGATGTAATAAATGATGTCTATTCATATAATAAATTTTTTATTCCGCTTTATTCGTGGTAACAATTATTCATACATATAATTTATAGTTTGACTTGCAGTGTTTGCAAACCGTTAATTTAATATTAATTAAATATACAGAACATTAATCAGCAGAAATGTATTATAAGCGTTATCCAAATTTTAATATTCCATTTTATTTACCTTGCTAACTCTAGTAATCCAGAACATGTGTATATTGCTGTGAATGAATGAATTGGTTGGGCGCCAAAAAATATTGTGATTTTATTTTAAAATTTTGAGAAATATTTCTTTTACAATATAAAGTAATTCAATATTTATACTCAATTTTGTTTGTACAATGCACATTTCTCTTATAAGTTCCTTGTTACTGTTTTGATTCATTACAATATCTATATTCGTATTACAACTATCTTGAACGGGTACTTTCCTGATTTTCAAAGTAATAAATTTGGCCGTCGAGTACTGATAAAGTGTGGCTTACGTAACTTACTCTAGAAAGTAGACAGGCAAAAAGCTTCATAACCGAATAAACTTTAATAAAACTTCTCGAGAAACAAAGCCTTAAGTCAATTTAAAATTATAATTAACACTGCCCGGGAAATAAAACTTTCTTCTCTATATCTAATTTAAAATGTGCCAACGGAGTCTAACGAACTGAAAGATTCTTCACACATAAAAGAAAAATTCCGCTAAACTTCCCCGCCGAAAACATGGAGCTTTCATATTTAACACAATTAAACTGCATGGCAAGGAAAACAGTATTTTTCAAACATAATTTCATTTCTAACAGAGAGTGTAAATATACGGAGTTCCAAGAAAAATATTACCGTGATGGCCCCGAGGGAAAGAAATTTTAACAGAGCGGACTGCGGGGGAGGATAAGTAAATTATCGGGCTTTTGTTAACAGTGAACACAAACATCAAGTTACCTGCTCGTCACGTCTAGTTATCTGTTAATTTTATTAGTATCTCATAATAAACACAGCCAAAAAGAGAATTTTATATTTGGCTTGACTTGTTCATGTTGCGAGAGCAGGAAATATTCCACCATCTCTGATTCACATCGCGTATTGATACGTACATGGTACAATTCTTTTATTGCTCCTTATTGCTGCTGTAAGCAAGTAGAATTATGAATAAACGTATTATGTTTTATATTTGTATGTTCTCATTTTATGATTCTTATTAACAGTACGTTGATACGTGATAGTCAAGTTGATACGTGATAATTTAATACGTGATATCCAATAACCAATTATAATTATTATAAGATGTGAAAATTGATATACATATACTTCTTAGTTTTGCCTTTTATGTTGTTCTCAATTTATAATACTCATTCATCATTGATACGTGATACTTTAAAAATAACAAATCAAGTACGAATGAAACCTTTAGCTCCTCTAAACAAAAAGATATGATGAGGCATTCATGTTCAACATATTTTCTTAGCTCTGATCTTCAAACTGTTCTCAATTTATAATTTGGTCACGACACATACTTGATACCTTGAATGGCTTTTATTATTTTCTAATCACGTAGGTATTATGAATGGATATTGAAGACAAATAGTCCAATCATTTCGTGAGTCACATATCAATATACGTGATTAGTCAATAGTAACAAACCAGGATCAATTTCTTGCTTACTGGTTATTATTCATTTAAAATTGAACATATTTTTTGGTTTTGATTTATAAGATGTTCTAATTTTATAATATTTATCGCATCACGTATTGATATGTGGTTAGTCAATAATAACACATTTTATACAATTCTTTAATTGTTCGTTACTGTTTCTGTGAGAATGTATAATTATAAATATGATTATGATTTTAAGTCACTGTAGAGTCAATTATATTGATACGTGATTAGTCTAGGTACAATACTTAAGCAAGTAGATAGGTATTATACTAACAGAATCACGTATCAATATGTCAGTGAAGTTAATAGTAACAATAGTAAAAATATAATACGCTGCCTCCTTTCAGATAAATCATAAATAAAAATATCATAATATCATATTGTTACATTTACATCAGCTTTTGGCTGCCATTGTCAACGAAATTCATCAGCGCTGTTTCACGTACCATTTACTTTTGAAACTATTTGAATTACGGTGGAATTTGGTTTATTTGCAGCGAGAATAATTTATATAAACCAATTCGAATAACACTCGATCTAGATATTTATCGGACACAGGAGTGTAGATTAGGCTATTTTGTGTCGGAATGGGAATTGATTTATAAGCACTGCTCATACTACTCGAACAAGCAGGTTATTTGTTAACAAAATTAGTCCACCATTAGGATGTCTTTGGGTTAATTTATTTGCCCATAAATAATGGCTTGTAATTAATTAGTTTGTTCCGTGTTATTGAAAACGTTGAAATCTGTTTTGGAATGTAATTGAAGGACAAAACAAGCGCTTTCGTAAACTTTTTTTACGAACTTAGTACTTTTACTAAATGAGGCAGGCTTTAAATCATTTTGAAGACATAAATGGGGATTTCTCTGGTTTTAAAGCAAAATCAAACTCGATGAAAAAGTCAGGGCAAACTTGAATGATTCTGAGCGAGTCAGATTTTAAATTTATTGGAATCGGTGTGTTTTCTCATAATATCTAGAAGTAATTGCTTATGGAAACAAATTTTACGTACATAATGCTGTATTATAAACGTTTTCAAACATTTTAATGAGGTATGTGATGCCGAAGACAGTTTTTATATAGTAAACGTCTAAACATTTCCTAATCACGGCGACAATCATCATATCCAACAGGCATTTATATCAAGTTCGCACGTCGCATAAAAAAAGAATTTGTGAAAGCTAGGGGAGTCACAGAGTGCTGTGTGCTGTGTCACCAGTATATCGATTCGCAGTGGCAAGAGGTTCATGTCAGACGCCTAAGAATCCCTTACATACGAAAATAGAGCGGTACAGAAATATTGACGATTTAGGAAAAAGGGACATTACGTTTTCATAAGTAAAAAAATCTTCCACTAATATGGAGAAGGGGATGGCGTATTATTATTCTATATGTCGGACAAGAAAGTGTCAGTGTTAGAACGTGAACAAACTGTGCTTAACTTATTTTATAAGGCTGCAACTGTTCTATACCTTGTCGTTATTATTTTACAGGTCAACTACTGGCTTCATCACGGCGAGAACATGGATTTAGTCAATTACCGATGTGAGTTGGTGCCGTGCCATCAATTTCGAGACGTGAAATTACCTTCTGCTTCTATTAGCCTGACCGAATAGACTTCAATCGTATCTCGATGCTGTGCTACAGCTCTGATATAAATTCTTAAACAAAGAGTGTGTTAGCAAAATACTTTTAGATACTACATATACTAATATAACTTTTTGATCAATTTATTGATTAAAATGGCATATATAAAACAGATTTTTCTTGTTGGCAATCATAATACTGCGTTATTATCAACACAGTTACTTCGAGTGTCGTATACTTTCCCATCTGTCATGTCAGTGACGTCAGTTATGATAAATTTGTCCGTCATCGATGAAAACTTCAAGCTCTAAAGGGGGTCAAGTGACACTTTGTTTGACCATTGTCCTCAAATGGCCATCACAAACATCAGTTGCAGAGATCTGCGGTATCGTGGTAATGGGTAATTATGCTCAAACAAATCAGCAACTGAATTTACCGGAATTTTCACTGTCTGTTTCTTCTTATATTTAAAGAACACGTAGTTGTTTTTACATTTTTACATACTTACATACACAGTGTGTTTATTTCGTAGTAATTTTTTTACTGGTGATATGAGTTCTGCTTATACGGGATGTTTTGAAGAAGGATCTTTTACCGATGGAGCATCGGCTTGTTGTCTTATGTTTCCTAGATACGGTCGTCAAAGATGATTGACTTAAAACTTGGTTAATTTGGTGTGATAAATGTTGTTACTTTCTAATTATTTTGTGGAGATTGTCAACTACTGCTTTTTCTCAACTATATTTGACAAATTGACAATAACAAATTTGTATAAAAAACAAATGGCAATAGGCTACGACCAATGGGAAAAAATAGTCTAAATTTTTGATGTCATATAAGGCTCTCAATTTGTAGCATCCTGTAAAGCTTTACGTTATTGTAAGGGCGATATTTGCTCTATGCAAGGAAACAGTCTCATATATTTTCCGCAGATATACAAGCATTGTTTGTTAAGACCATTCATTTAGAAAATATATTTCAGCGGCGTATTCATCGGACGTTTTATTGAAAACATCCACGGGCTCAGTAAACAGCATTCTAAATTGTTGTTTGCATAAAGAAAACGTGGAAATACTTACACTTCGCTGAAATCCTTATCCCTGTATCGGCACCTGAAAATATAAAAAGAAAATAAATTAGTCCGATGTAAATCCGCTTGGAGGAAATTTGATTAATCCCGTGAAAGTGCCTCTAATTGTGTATTGTCGAACGTTCAAAATTCCCATTCAAAAGAAAAATGTCTGATTGTCTACAATGATCTTGGAACCCACCGGAGGGTAAATAATTTTTTATCGAAACGAATCCTCATTTTTTTTTCTCTAATAAAAATTAAATTCCTGTGAACTCGCGAAGAGTTTACGGTTCACGGGAGAGAAAATAATTACTTGATCAGGAAATCTACTCGGCATTGTAAGAAATGGAACATACAGCTTGTCCCCAGATGGGTGAAATAAGGTATAAGAAAAAAAAGTTCAGCTTTGTTTGTTTATGTAAAATTGTAATTTGTAATCTATTATTCACAACTAAAGTGCCATTTTTTAAAATAAAGTTGCTCCCTACTGTAATAAAATTTAAATTCCTGCGTATCTCGCGGCGAATTTACGGTTCACGAGAGAGAAAATAATTACTTGATCGGAAAATCGATTCGCTATTACAACAGTAAATCAGACACATGTATTCGTTTGGTAGGAAGTGAAACGATAACCATCTTATTGGAGAACAGGAGGAAGGAGAAGTGGGTTGGCAGGTTCAGGTTTTAGCAGATTAATGAGGAAAAATACTAATCCCTTTGTTGCGGGCGAACGAGGTTCTGATTGAGATGTTTTGTTATTTTATGTTACAACAGGCCCAAAAATTCCTGACCAGGGATTAATCAATGGGACCAATAGCTTAATTTTAGGAAGGGAGAAGTGTCGTTTTGGCGACGTTCAAAGTTAGATAACAGGTCCGCGTTCTGGAAAGACTAGCAGTTTTTGCAGAAAGAAATTTCTAGTAAGAAATCACTATGTATTTTATTGACATCCTCTATTTTGTGCCAAAGACTGTCATAATTGTAAACATGTATTAAAACTAAGCTCGCAAATCGATAAACACTGGTTCATTATTACTGGTTTTCAAAAACAAATGTGTCGAATTCTTCACAATGCTTTTTATTATTAGATATCTGACTACTAGTTGCGATGCTATGGTATTTGAATAGAACCTAACGACAGGGATAACAAGAAGAAGAAGACTGAAACAAAACTTTACAGAACAAAGCAAAATACAGAATTTCTAAATTCATAGTAAAAATAAATTTAAACAGTCATATAATTTGACACATTTGAGAATAATAATGACTCCGTCGTAATATTTCTTGCTCTGAGCGAACTTTATGCAGAAAATGGTCTAATTTTCCTGCGAGTGTTATAAATAAATCTTCGCTAGAGAAATGATATGAATATAATGAAACTTAGGGAACTTCATAAAATTTATACCTTTAATTTCCTGTAGGATGTAATTACAAAACGCTCTTAAAAGTTTCCTGATAAAACTGTCGCGTTACTTCTGCAAAATTCTAATTTCAGTAAATTTTCGGATTGGCCACTCAACTCTTCTAGAAGCCCCGTGATTCCGCCGTGCATAAAAAAAACCTCAATTGCGCTTAATTTAAATAATAGCGCCGTAAATTTCAAAAAATAATTGAGCCAGTAAAACCGCTGGATAAACTTTTATACAGTAGAGAGTACTAAATTTACAAGAGCGCATAAAGGAGAAATATGTGCCGGTTTCTTGGTGCAACAACTCAAAGGGATGGCTGATATTTTTGTTTACAGTGGCTTTATTGCGGGTGAAATAAACCAAAACTGGCTGCAACAAGTTGCATTTGTGAAAAAACGACCCCGGTGTTGTATGAGTCGACATTTTCATTAGTTTCCTGTGAGTTATATCACCAGAAAGGTAAGGTTGAAGTAAACTGTCCTGGATTGTACAGGATGATTTATGATGAAGTGCCCAACACCTCAGTTTTTAATTTTTAAGTTAGGTTTACGAACCTGGAAATTTATTTTTAATGAGAAGTAAGTCCTGACAAAAGTAACCGATTGCTAAAAAAATGCCTGTAATAGCAGAAAAAAAAATTAGTATGATTTGTTTGCTTGATAACTTAAAACGTACCAAAAAGGGGGACCAAATATAAAATTCTTGAAATAAATAAAGGGGATAGCAACCCTCACCCAGAAGTTAAGTCTGCTGTATATTAGTAACAATCAATTGCAAGTGCAAATTTTAAACAAATATAAACATTTGTATCAATAAAGGTGCCCATAATAATATATTTATCTCAATAATGTCAAAGTAGCGGTGATTTTTCTTATTTTCTGTTTGTGGCTTTTATAAAAAGGCTTTTGTTTCACAATTTCAGTTAAAAGATCTATTAGCAAGAACATCAGTATTTTATTTCGAAACACACCAATAGTTAAAACATTTGTAATGCATATTTATGTTTTTGTAACTTTGCAGGTATTAAAGTTAACGTCGCTAGCTGTGCGAGATCTGAAACTTCTGATGGTATTTTGACAGAGATATCAATCAGTACTTGTTTAACTTTCTTCGTAGGCATTATTTCACATACATAACACTAGCAGACCGCTCCTTTTCCCATACAAGAAACTTAAATTTTCTTAAACCAAATTACATTCGTCAAGATTTGTATTGCTTTCAACAATGAAAGAGTAACAAGTAAAATAAAACAAAGAAATTCGTAAACGTGATTGATTGATTCCCTGTAAAATATGTCTGTTCGTTCAATGTTTACTAAGTTTACCTACCAACTTTGCACAGACTGAAATCAAACTTGAATTAAAACCACAGCAGTCGCTAAACATATTCATTTAGTGCGAACAGTTTATCTTGGACACTTTCATCTAGATGCACATAAATTGGACCTGGTTCTCATTCCGCAATTATGTTGATACTAACATGCAGTTGCTGCAGTCGTCCTGACAGTTATCTTCATCCACCGATAGTGTTTACGAAGTAAATATTGCCCCAGATCTGGATTCATCTAAATTCTAGCATCCAGTTAAACTCGAGATTATATTGTTGTTGGAATAATACTACAATCTAAACTTTGATATGTAAAATTTACACAATATATTCGTAAGTTAACAAAGTGTTTATTAAGCACAGTCGCATCGACCTTAATGACAAAATAGAAGAAAAAAGAATGGATTTACTTGTAGTTGGATTTATGACACCAAAGTATGTCATACAGGGTGATTCTTTAAGAATAACATAATGTGGGATTCTGAAGTCAAAATTTGATGAATTTGTTCTTCCATTAAACTGTGTTACTTTCTTGCAGATGGTTATTATTTTTATTATTAATACACCTTTCCATAAAAAAATGTAATATTTCTGAACAAACATCAACTGTAGCCGCTACAGAAGTCAATGGACATATAAATATTTAGATTTTCTGATTATGACTGAATTATGGCTATGAATTAAAAAAACAACAACGAATTTTTGTCACAATTATTTCGAGATACTTACAATGCATTAAAATATTTCACAAATAAACGAATTATTATTTTTGTATTACTTTTCTAGAACAATAACTGAACAAATACAGCAGCGCAAAGTCTATGATAAGTACAGTCTGAAATATGTTCCGCATCTCATTTCTAAAAATGAAAACAAACAAGAGCCCTGTGTTATTCCATACCTAGAGAATGAAAATGTTATTGAATGATACATTTTTTGCTGTACGTATACTTGTAGTTGATTTAAATAATGAAATAAAAATAAAAAAGAGTTTGAAATGTTTACATTCTCCGAGTGAATTGCGTTTTATGAGGAAAACCCGAAGCGGTTTTAAAATTCAATGAAGTAATAAATAAACCAAAAGCAGCTGAACGTTCAGGACTACCTGAAAATTGCTGAAGAACTTTAAAAGTATAATATACAAGGCTTTACTTCAGGCGTTCGGCGTGAAGTCTGGAACGGAATTTTTCCATCTCTGCGTTATTCTTCCAAACGAATTCACCAAAAAAGAAGACAAGTACACTCGTCTAACAAATATAAAATAAATGATTTATTATCTTCATAACTGTATTTTTTTACTGAGGACATGTTTAATTCTTCATGAAAAGTTTAAATGTTTCATATTCTGACGTTTCTTTGCATATTAACATTCTTTGCATTCTCTTTAAAACGCTGTAAGGTGTTGTTGCTTGTTCCTAATTTCATAATAAGGAAATGAACGCATGTGGATCTTTTTCATTCTTAAAACATTGAGAATTATATTTGAAGTAAGACGAATAGAATCTTGCCACAAATATTTGCATAATCCAGGCATTCAACAAAAGATCTTTTTTTCAACGCGCTGGGTACTGTTGTCCAATACCTATATCTATATTTGCAAAGGCCGCAAGAGCTTCCTTCAGCTGTCCCTATACAAACATAATCAGTTTGGTTCTTCAAGAATATCTCGAAGTAAAATTTCACATTAACCCTTATTAACGCAAATGTCTTGCTACTTTCTTACTCATAAGGAAAGCTACTGTAGAAAATAATTAACAGGTCACAGATGCATATCTAAAATAGTGGAAATTTTTAATATATGCTACTTTTACCAAAGGTGGCATGGCACCAACTACTTCACGTTTTAGTAATCCAACAATTCGCGTCATTGTACAATAACATGTACATGTCTGCCTTTGATCTGAAGGTTCGCATCGATCAATGTATTCGATATGATCTAGCGGCACCCTAATGCCTGCCCTGTCGGACTGGTGAGTATATGATACCAGTAGCGTTGTGTATTGTGATTTACACTGTTTCTGCTACTACAACGCTTATTTATTTGATTGGCGCCACAAAGTTTCCAATGTCTAATTATAAATGGAGTTTTGCTATACTGTTCTGAATAATGGTGAGTAATACAAAAATATGTACCTCGTATTATGTCAGCGTAGTAATCGATATAAGTACGTATTTCACGTCTGCATGCTGTTTGTATCTTCTCAGAAACTAATAAACGAGGTATTACGTTTCAGTGAATAGCAGGGCCCGGACAAAGCTAAAAAGACTAATTTATGCTATTAGATGTTTTCCGATAAACACGATG